AAAGAATTTGCTAGAAAAAGAGAGAAAGGTGTTTTGAAACTTACATACAGAAGTTCTAGCTTACTGTGCATAGAATTGGAATGTTTTCCAAAACATTTGTAGAAATTTTGTTTTAAACCTCATTATAACTCATAAAATAGATATATTTTTTTTTTTTTGTTTATGTAGTATAGACATCATTGCAGTATATTTAATCTATATATTTCTTTTCTAAACACTTAACTAGATATTATTAAAGTTACAAAAAGTTGTTATTATTAGGATATTTTCCAGTAATTAATTAATGCCTATTAAATGTCAGTTTGTTTTTTTAATTATTTTAAAATCAAAATAATTAAATAGAGTTTAAATTTCAGAATTTTTTTAAATAGTTAATAATCTTATGTTTCTACACATTAGGATAACATATATTTAGGCAAATATTATAACAACTAATTTTTATTTTAATTAGTAAATATTTAATTCTCTTAACATTTAAAATTTTTATATTTTTTGAACATTTTCAGAGGAAAGTAAGAGATCAAGTAAATATATAAGCTTTTTATATTTAAATTACTAGTTTTTTTTTATTTTTATTTTTTGAAATTACATGTCATTACCAATAAGACTTATTACACTTAAATATCCATTCATAAGTAGAAATCAAACTAAAACTTATTTTTTCATAAAAAATGTTTTTCATTATATGAATCAAAATCATTTAGATATAGCATGTTTTCACAAAATATTGACATCATCACAGACTTTATCATGTATGTTCTTACCTTTATCTTACCATCAGAGTTGCAGTTGAGTTTGATTTGAGGTGGAGTAATTATTATATTCAAAAAAATTATGAACTATATTAAGGTGTGATTATTGTTATTAGAAATATTTTAAAATTATTGTTATTTAAAATTTAAATTACTTTATTCCCCTCAAACAATACTGTAATACTGAAGAATGATTGGCATGCTAGTTTAAGTGAGGTTATACATCCTTCTCTAAAGGGTGCATTAAAAAAACCAAATGAGTTACATCACATAAAAACAAACTTGCTTTTATTCTAAACCTGTGAAACTGTTAGCATTACATCAAAAATTATTATATGTTTAATTTCTTCATTTTGTCTTCTTTCTAATGACATAAAATACTCTTGGAATTCTGAAAGTGCTTTTTTTGTGTGTATTTTATTGTTATTTAATACAAAAATGAAAAAACAAGCATATTAAATTTAAGAAACTGGCTGTAAATTATCTCAGATTACACCCATTAACATCCCTTTGTGTGAAATTTGTTATTTTTATCGTTAGAGTAGGTTGTTAGTGCAGCCCACACTGACTAACTACTACTATTAACTATTACTACTAATGTTAATAAGCTGTTAATAGTTTTATTGTCTTGTAAACAAAAACTCTCTTCCTGATTTTAAGTCAGTCAAATTATATTATTATTTTATTGTTTTGGGAAGAATGTTTTCTTTAACATTTATTTAACAACTAGTTGAATAAATGTTTAATAAATGTAAAATAAATATTTAATAAAATGTTAAATAAATCTGATCAATTTTATATTTTAGTCACAGTTTAACCAGCATGCCAGAGATCCTGAGGTTACTGGCATGCTGGTCATTCCACAAAAATACAGTATTACAATAAGCAGATTGTATTATATATAACTGTTATTTTTTCAATGAGTTTTCTTAGTTTTCAAAAAATATGTAGTAAAATTGTAAAAGTGGTGTATAAAACTTCATTTCCTTATTTGAAAGTTCATTCTTTTTGGGTTAAAATGCTGAATAATTTATTATTATTTTTTAAAAAACTGGTTTTCTATGATTTTGTCTTGGATTCATTTAAGATATATTACAGAAGTTTCCTAGACCATTTACTTTTTTCTGATACAGGAGGTACTTATGAATGTTCAATTTATGAACTTTTGGACTTAAACAATTTGACCGTAGTTCTAAAATTTAAATGTTGTGCAGATTCTGAAGTTCTCTTGCCAATTGTGGGGTGGCATTAAAGTCAGCCTTTGGCCAGTAATACATAATAAATTTTTAATAAACAATTAACGTGAATTTATTTTTATTGCGTATCATCATTTATTGTTTTTGCAGAAATTCCTATGTTCCACCACTGCATGAGGTGACATTGAGGTTGGTAATGTCGGAGTAATGGTGTTTTTTGCTATTCGTTGCAATTTTTATAAAACTTTTATGATTAGTGCTTCAAAAATGTGTCCAAAATCTAACAATGGAGATAATTGCAAGAAGTGTTTCTCTATTATCATGGAAACTAAACTTGACATTATAAAATTAAGTGCTTTAGGTGAAAAAAATTGCATTTGAAACAACTGGTACTAGGCAGTAGCAAACAGGTAAATGAGTATAATGCAATGTTTCTCAAAGTGGTTCCTACGAACCCCTGGGGAGTCCTTGGAAGTGCTGATGGGGTCCATAGCAAATTAAAATTAATTTGAGATGCATGGACAACGTCAGGGTGGTCCGCAAAAGGTTTAATAAAAAGTTAAAATGGACTTTGAGCTTCATAAATTGCATACATCATGACATTTTAAAATTTATTATGTTTGTTTATAGAATTTTATATATTTATTTAAGTTTTCTTTCCAAGATAGTGAAATTTATTGGTTGTTTTTCATAATTATAAAAACTATTTAATGACTAGAAATATACAAATAATTCATTTACTTTGGTCAAAAATAATTTTTTCTGTGAAAATTCAATAGATAAAATAAAAAACTTATAAATTTTATATTTTTTTTAAATGTAATTTATAACCAAATTATAAATAAATTATACATTTTCATTTTTTTTTTCCACCATACTGTGAGGACCCGAACAGGGGTCGACTGAGAGGTCCGAATTATGGGTTCGATCGAAAATAAAGAGCTCCTTTTCAGACGATAAGGAAACAGATTAGGTGTCTTGATTGAACAATGCAATTGGTTTTTTTCGGAAAATTAGTTAAACAATGGAAACGGAGAAATTCGAGGAAAACGCGACGAGAGAGAGGATCATATTCAGTCGCTATGTTAACCTCTCCCGCGCCCTCCATTAGGTTTCGAATTGTCACCAGGTGACAATGAGAGACCAATGGAGAGGCGACTGCTGTAAAAAAATCTATAAATTTGTGCGACTCAAGAGACGAAGGTTCTTGGTTCGT